ACCTTGCCTAAGAAACCTTGCCTTAACGTATCCTTAAATAAAGATGGACCTACTAGAATTTAAATCTAACCTAACTAAATGAAATGTAAAGCATATGTAGCCATGTGGACTTGAACATAAACCTAACCTAAACATAAGAGATTTAGTAAACGAAACCTAACCTTACCTAAGAAACCTTGCCTTAACGTATCCTTAAATGAAGATGGACCTACTAGAATTTAAATTTAGCCTAACTAAATGAAATCTAATACAAATGCAGCCATGTGGACTTGAACGTAAACCTAACCTAAACATAAGGGATATAGTAAACGAAATATGCGTTTCAAGCATCAGTTACCTGTTAATGATTTCTTTTTTAAAAGACTCGTGTAGACATAACCTGTACAGCAACAATAAAACCTTCACTCAATGTAACTTAGATTTCAATTAATCTAACGGACCTAACGTTGCATTAAACTGGACCTAGCATAATTTGCGTCTAATTAAATTAAAGTTAAGAACATGTCACTATGTGGAGTTGAACATGAACCTAACCTTACCTAGACATAGGAGATTAGATATAGTAAACGAAACCTAACCTTACCTAAGAAACCTTGCCTTAACATAGCCTTAAGTAAGAAACCTTACTTAAATAAAGATGGACCTAATAGAATTTAAGTCTAACCTAAATCAAATGTGAAACAAATGTATCCATGTGGACTTGAACCTAACCTAAACTAACCTTACCTAAAGAGATTAAATATAGCAAACGAACCTCCCAAGAAGGCTAACGAAAGTTAACTTTGCAACAAAATTCTAAGATTGAAATCTTGACGATCATTTAAAAACAACTTCGCGAATTACAGTGGAGTATTGTTTAAAATGTAACCTTCGTATTAAGATGACAGTGTATGAATAAAAACGATATTAAAATATTAATTGCATGGGTAAGAAAGAGCGCAGTAAGTATCGTGTATTGTTCGAGTTGTTCGAAAAACATGAAGATAGCCAAGATAACAATGGATTCTTTCTGGTCGGCGGCGAAGAAAGAGAAGCACGGAAACAAAAGAAGGGAACAGCACAAACGCTAGGAACTTTCACACCATTGCCATCAAACTATGATAAATGGATCTTTCGTTATGGATCATTTTCAACGGTGAGCGACTGCTGAAGTCATCCTTGGCCCACCAACTGTTGCGCTAATCGAAATTTTATTTTCAGGTAAAATAAATATGTAAATAACGCGGCTATAACGCTGAAACGTCTCCATTATACACGGTGTATCAAAGATTTTAATGTTCCGTATTAAATCGCGAGGTTTTAACGAACGTTAATAAAGTTTTCTGAAACTTCGTTTATAAATATTTGGTGAAGTAGCCTGGGTATCGAAGACAAGATTGTTTTCGTAATGGAGGTTCACGAGGTAATTAATATGGAATAACTGAGCCAGAACTATTGAAGAACTGGAACAGCAGGGTGGAAGGAGGGAAAGAAAAAAGAAATTCTTCCTTTATGGCGTTTAATGGGATTCTTCGCACTTCGGCCGTGGCTCCGACAAAGGGCCAATTCTGGTTTGGGCCAAAGGGCCTCCTACCAAATTAGAAACCTCCGAATGATTTATCGGCCAGGGATATTAAATTAGAAGGAATTTCGTGGCTCGAAAGTAGCAAGCCCCGGGTACTTCTTCGTTTAATGCCAATAATTGCCTGCCACGACCGGCAAACATTCGAAGCGTCCTTTGATACCTTATTTATACTACAATTCCCCAAAATATTCTTTCTCTGCAAAAATTGGGTTTTAGCGGAAACTTTGTTAGGGGAAAAATAATAAATTAGGACGTAGCTTTCTTATTTAATGACGTTTTGTATTGAACAAAGCCTAGTTACACCCAGTATTTCCCCTGGGAAGTGTTATTATATTCGTAGGTGCATAGTAGTCTTCCCTAGGGGAAAGATGATAAGGAAGAAGAGAATAATAGTGATATAACCTTGAAGAGAAAATAAACGGTCCAGCTATGAGAAAAAACACGACTTTAATCCATTGTAGCTTCTCGCCCCGCCCCAGAGCCCCCAGCGCAGGAAAGTATCGAACTTCGAGCACCTCCTCAGTTAACTTACTGAACAAATCCCCGAATTCTCAAATTCCGAAATTTTCAAATCCCCGAATTCTCAAATTCCGAAATTTCCAAATCCCCGAATTCTCAAATTCCCAAATTTCCAAATCCCCGAATTCTCAAAATCCTAAATTTCCAAATCCCCGAATTCTCAAATTCCCAAATTTCCAAATCCCCAAATTCTCAAATTCCAGAATTTCCAAATCCCCGAATTCTCAAAATCCTAAATTTCCAAATCCCCGAATTCTGAAATTCCCAAATTTCCAAATCCCCAAATTCTCAAATTCCCAAACTTCCAAATCTCAAATTTTCAAATCCCCGAATTCTCAAATTCCCAAATTTCCAAATCCCCGAATTCTCAAATTCCCAATTTCTCAAATTTCCAAATTTCCAAATCCCCGAATTCCCAAATTCCCAAATTTCCAAATCCCCGAATTCCCAAATTTCCAAATCCCCGAATTCCCAAATTTCCAAATCCCCGAATTCCCAAATTTCCAAATCCCCGAATTCCCAAATTTCCAAATCCCCGAATTCCCAAATTTCCAAATCCCCGAATTCCCAAATTTCCAAATCCCCGAATTCCCAAATTTCCAAATCCCCGAATTCCCAAATTTCCAAATCCCCGAATTCCCAAATTTCCAAATCCCCGAATTCCCAAATTTCCAAATCCCCGAATTCCCAAATTTCCAAATCCCCGAATTCCCAAATTTCCAAATCCCCGAATTCCCAAATTTCCAAATCCCCGAATTCCCAAATTTCCGAATTCTCAAATTCCCAAATTTCCAAATCCCCGAATTCCCAAATTTCCAAATCCCCGAATTCTCAAATTCCCGAATCTCCAAATCTCCAAATCCTCGAACGACTCCTCAGTTAACTTACTTAATTTTTTTCCATAAATTTGAATGAACAATTGAATAAAAAAAGTAAGAACTATGAATTGAATTATGAAGAAAAAAAAGGGAAGGTTTACCAAAATTTGTAAGACAATATTTTTCAGATATATACAATAATTTATTTAATCACGAAGCAATGTTTACATTTACGAGCATCTTCGTGAAAGTACGATCGAGTACATTAATTATACTACGCTTGTAGATCATTCTCACGTAATCCTTTTAAAGAACAAAATTTATACAAATAGATGTAAAATTGTTTATTGTACAAAACTCCGTTGTAACCGCGTTTCTTAACGAACAATAAAGAATATCGACTAAGATAGAATAGAAAAGGACAGATTAATTCGTACTTACATAATCACAATTCAAACATGTAACTTTGTACAGGACACTCTCGTTATATTGCCGTCTTTACATAGAGTCTTGCAAACGTGGCTCTCTCTGTGGATTGCAATCTTAAAGGAAATATATTTTAGATAAATATATAACCCATTCGGTTATAACATATTGCCCGTTCGAAGATTATGCAATATAACGAGAGTCTTCCGCAAATGGAAAGATTCATTAGTCGAAACGATACTAATGAATTTAGAGAACCGAATCAGTCAGAAAATTGATCTACAGATTTTCGAGTCGAAAAAGAAGTTGGTAAGCTTTTTTCGAGTCGAGATTGTTCTTTCTACATTTTCATGGAGTTCAATCGAAAAATCGACAATTAAGGCCTTTATGTCTAATGTTATTGACTCTATCGAAATAACGCTCTCCAATTTTTTTGTCAGTAGAATTGCAAATGGTAAAGTTCTCAAATTTTCAAATCTGTGAATTCTTAAATTCCCAAATTTCTAAATTAGCGAAGTCTCAAATTCCGAAATTTCCAAATTCCTGAATTCTCAAATTCCCAAATTTCCAAATCCCCAAATTCTCAAATTCCAAAATTTCCAAATCCCCGAATTCTCAAATTCCCAAAT